TTGTATGTTCCTATTGTTGTAGCTTCAGCTGTTTTCACACAAGCTGGCATTACTGCCCCTGCAAGCAATCTTGCTGAGGGAAACTGAAGAAGTGAATATAAATCGGTGAAGTCGACGAGCGTTATGGAAAGCAGTACCGCTGAAATCGGATCTATATGATATTTCAGAGGCAGCATAAGCCGTACAAAGTTATCCTCCGACTGTGTTTACATCTGCAATATCTGTGGGGATAACCCTACGAAAAGCGTGCATTCGTCTGGTTATACGTGTTCGCTTTGATCTGTTTATTTCCGCATCTCTATAAACTATTAATACATCATTTTGTGTCTACATTGTTGTATTCACTGTGTCTCTCTGGCTGTGCATCTCTTCTGTGGCTGTCCTGTGCTTGTTTTCGACGGAAAAACAAGGAAAACTGGTTGCGTTGTGCTGAATATTCAAATAAACAAATCAATATACAAATAATTATATTACTTTTTGGGGGTACTAACGTGACACTAACGGCGAATCGCAAATGGCTATGCAGTTGTTCATATGCGTAATTTTCTTTTTCGTGGTCTCTCTTTTGTATGGCTTCTGATATTCTTTAGATATTAAGTGATTTCAGATATCGATTCAACTCTTTTGATATGAATTTCTTTGTTTCAGTATCTACTGCACCAACATAGCGCTCGTCTGTCTAGCAGAGATGTACACGGATAAATAATGATATTCACGGCCAAACAAGAGTAGGATCATGATAACAACTTGGAAGGAAAACCGCAACCGGCATGCGAGGTGGAAGGCCTCAGAGTTTACACTCTGATATTTGTTCATAGATTCGCTGCTTTTCACCTCAATTCTCTATTGAGTATGCTGCTCGGAGCAGCAACTACAGTTAGGCTAATCACGCAGCAAGTGAACCTTCGCATACTGAGGCAAACAACGGCGGTTTCGAAAGCTATTCGCTCTGCCTACCGGCGGACGGATAAGCGGAATAACTTGGTAGCTAGCTGGCTAGCTAGCTACCTACGCGGCGGAAATCTGCCTGACTAGGCAGAGATAGCTGCCAGGATGGCGACCAAACAGGCAGTTAGAATTGTGGGAACGGCAGCGTTTGCGGAGCTGGTTACAATAGGATCCTTCAGATCTTCTTCCGTCATACTTTTTAAATCAGTTGTTCGTGTACTAATCTCCTTGAAGTACTCCTCGCTGCAAGAAGGACGGAACAGACAGAAAAAAATAATGAATTTCCAGTTATTGTTGCTGTTCACGCCTAAGTCCTTACGTAAGAACCAACCAGGTAAACCTTCAACTCGAAAAGTCCAAACTTACCTAAAGGCGGCTTCGTTCTCTTTTGCTGCAGGGCTTAATTCGCACAAAAGCACAGCCTTTGCTGGTGTTTCCGATTCTGGCTCCGTGAGTAAATCAACCTCGGGCGACTTGATACACTTTGCAATGGTGCAGCCAACTTTAGTGCTGTCCGCTCCGAGAAGGTGCAGTACGCTGAGAGCCTCTTTCTTCTTCCATATATCTTGCCACGTCGGTGTTTGTGCCGGATATGTGGTGCTGTGAAGATGTAGAGACAATCACCGCAACACAACATAAATGTGATGATTTGAAGATGGATGTGGAGGGAGGGACGAAAGTACCATGGTAAATATGTTATGTATAGTCGCTGTCGCTTTGGCTTGCTAAGAAAGCAGGTGGAAGCTGCCTGTAGGGAAGATGGGTGTCGCATCCCCTTACCCGATTGCATTCAGTCCGGTTTTGAGGGCCTCCTCCACCAGCTTAGGGTAGTCAGGAGTATCTGTATAGTCGAAAGTTTGATGAAAGATCTTCTTCTGTACACCCAAAGGACGAACAAAACGAGAAAACAGCTTTCTTATCTTTAGTCTGTCTCAGATAATCATTGGAATAAATGCCTAACCTGTAGGGTGTGACAATGGATTTTAGAGTTTTGACCTTATGCAGATCATGCCACAGCACTACCAGTAGCAATGCCGTGGAGTACCCCCTTTTTTGTGGGTGCGCTCACAAATGTGGATTCTATCAACTCCGCGCATGTCGCCTCTGTGGCTTCACCGGTGCCTTCTACTTCGTCCTGCAGTTCGGTGACAAGCTGGGTATCCTTTGCTACATCTTTGGTTTTAGCTGTAATTTTTCCATTACGGGCCAACCTGATCGGCAAGTAGACGTCTGCAGAGAACAAACTCAGACAGGAAAATGAATGCAGCGACCACCGTCCCTCGCAGCCGACCAGTTAACGGCTTGACAGCAAACATGACGCGAAAAAGCGCCAGAAATATGAGAATCATAAGCGGTAATAGGCTTACCATCTTTAACTTCTACTACCTTGAATTTGTACTTCGTTGCGCCGGCCGCCACGGACTGGAGCCCAAAGAGCCCGACGAGGCAAAGTGCTGTTGCGGTCTTGTACAAGGGAGCCATTGCGACGGAAGGCAAGGAAATTTTTAAAAAAATGTTCTAGACAATAGAAATATAAATATTCGAATTGAGGAGAGCGGAAAAGACGGCAAGCAGTTCGGAGTTATCTGCGTGGTCCTGCAGTCGCGTGGACGGCGAATGGCAAAAAACGGGAGAGCAAAGCCAAAATTGCAAACAAAAGATAAAATTAAATAAATTAATATTGAGCAAAAATAAAACAAATAGAAATTGTTGTGCATGACTTATCCTCTGAAATAAACCATCTAATTTAAACAAATGCAGAAAACAAGCAACACCAGAGACACGGCTGGTCGGCAGGCGCGGCAGGTCGAGGTCGTAAGAGGAGAGATCTCTGTGGGTTGTTGTTTTCGCCTTGGTTTCGGGTTACGTCTGTCTTCTCATACCACTCAACGGTTATAAGCCAATTAAACAAACCATTTTAC